CCGCCGCCATCGAGCACCGTGGGGGGCCTCGGACCACCCGCTGAGAGGTGAGCTCTTAGCTTCGTTTGTATTTACGTCTTTAGGAAATATCTTCCTCCTTCCTGAGTTTTCCTCCCTCTGTGCTCCCCCCGTCTGGGTTCCACCCAACCCCTTATAAACTCTCGGACGATTTCAACGAGTAAGTGGGTGCAAGCGCCGCTGAACACCGCCGGCCGGATGCTCGATACGCGCCATTAAACCACTCTTCGTGACGGCATCGCTGGCCCCGACGCCCGCCGGTTAAGCCGCGCTTCTTCTCTCGGTTACTCTCCCCTTTCCCCCCTCCATCACCTCTTCCGCGCGTCGTCGTCATAGCCACTCGTATAATCGCGATAATCATCGCCTCGTTAAACTGCAGCTTCCACAGGAGCCAGCAAGGGTGGCGGGGGCGACAAAGCGATGCGCATCGCTTTTCGCTCATGGACTTTTGTCTCGTGAAACTAAATGGCGTCTTGCCGTTTACGACTCGCATGTTGACAGAAAGAAGCGTCGACGTGACGCTGCTAAAGAGTTCGCGAAGGATAAAAAGGCTAAACAACCGGCGACAATTTCTCGCGGAGATTTCATACATATAGTTACGAACAAGTATTATAGATTAAAACGTTTAGAAATTATTGATTTTTACGATTATGCAAATTGTTAGTCACGTTAGTACAGATTTGACTAAAAGTATAAAGCACCCCCACAAATTGACGTTTTATATCTGAACGAAAAAAGAAATTAAAGAACAGTTTTGAAAAATAATATTTACTTTTATAATAACTTTATAATATTTTGTCAGTTTTCCTTTGAATTTTATTAGCACTTTTTCCAAGAAAATGCAATAAATTGAGAGTGCTTTATACTTATGGCCGAGACTGTATACATATAATGTTGCGCGTTTTTGAAGGATATAATCATTATATATTTCTTTCATCTGTGGATTTTTGCATAATTTAATACACATTTTAATAAATAATAATTTAAATAAATAACTTTTCATAATAAAATGTATTTTGATACTTTTCTTCTTATATTCTACAAAAATACTTGTTTATGTAAATACCTATTTACATTATCAATGTTTGAGATATCATAAAAGAGAGTTCAACGTATGTGTGCGTGGAAAATCTAGAAAAATATTTGTACCGCATAAAATATTTCTACGAGAGACGCGTTTCATCGGCCGTGTGTATATAAGGGGAACCGGAGTACGTCCGAAGAATCGGAAAGGGGCGATTTATCCCGCTCGCGATCCTCTCTTTCCGCGGGGACGGAGCACATTCGTTTATAATCCCCGAGACGACGACAGTGGGGCTCTCTGCGGATCGACGTGGAGGTCGGGAACAAAAAAATGCCGAAAAACACGCGTGGCAGACACGCGTGGTAGACGTAATGCTCGCGAGAGGAGGGCATGCGTTAGATGTCGACAAGACGACGGAGAGGTAGCGGGGGTGGCTCGGGGGCGGTCGAGGGGGTCAAGGAGGGGAGGGAGGGGACGGTGGGCCTGGTACCAGGGTCGAGGGAAAAGGTAAAGAAGAAACGGCAGGAAGATACTCCTTCGCCGTCCCCGCAGTTGTAATTTATTTAAAACCGCTCGCCGTAAATATATCCCTATCATTTATTCAGAGGAACGGCGAAGCTCCTGCCGGGGGTCGCGGATGGAGAGGAGAGGTGGATGGGGAGAAAGAGGAGGAGAGGGAGAGGGTGTAAGCTCTGCGTTCCTTCTTACCTTAGCTCTACCTAGCCACCGTAAGAGCGACTTCGTGCTGTATAGGGGCGGATCCACGTAGCAAAGACATTGTGTCTCGTCGCTAGATCGCTCTTTTGTCTCGCAATTCTCTTGGAAGGTTGCGTAAGAATTGATTATGCGTCGCTCTTGTTAGCACAATGAAAAGCAGGTACTTTGTCTTGGAAATTGCGCCCTATGTTCTACTTCGACTAATAAAACGCAAGTTTCCGCATCGAGAGATCAACTCATTATCTGCTAAAATGATAGAGGAACTATAAATGTAGTCACACTACGATTGCGCGATTGTGATTAGCGATTGGCGAGCACTTTTCATCCAGTCACCGATTGCTTTGCTCTAACTGGTTGTAAAGTAATCATCAATCACCAATCACAATCACACAATCGGTATAGCGTGATTGTTATACGATTTAAAACAGTTTGCCACTTGAGCAGAATAACAGATCATAATAACGTCAAGATAACGTTATAATGAATCGTGACTGATAAGATTATTAAAAGTGACTTTTAATAATCATTTTAAAGCCTTTTTTACGCCATTTTGATGTTATGACGATTTTTTGTTTTTTTTTTGATACCTAAGGGTTGAAATGTGTATTTAAAAAATTGTTAATCGCAGTGTGTATTAACAATATCATATCTAATAATATATGCAGCTCAGAATCGTTTCCTGTCACTTTTATTACTCGTTTTAACTCCACGCTATATTCACTACCGGTGGAGCTGAGAGCGTTTAATGTTATTGAATTTTAAATAAAGATTTTAATGGAGTCTTATTACGCGGGAAACGCGACCTCGTCTAGGTAATATCGTAGTTATCGACGTCATTACTTATCTAGAAGCGATTATAGGATAAAAAACTAGATATACCTAAGTAAAATGGAACACATAAATATCAAATAAAATAACTAAAGTGATCACACGTGTATATTCGACTGACTAACAGGCTGAAAATTTGTACGGATAAAAAAGGCAGACAAAAGTAAAAGATACGAGATAGAAAAAAATATTTCGAATTACGCGAGGTACTAACTTTATTTTTTACTTTTTATTTTTTTAGAAGAGTAAAAGAGAAAGAGAAAATTTTAAAAAATGTGCAATATATAGTAAATACAAAAGTATTCGTATATAAGAAAGATTTTTATTTAAGAAACCTTATTTGTAGAAAATGAACATTAATTAGCAATTTATTAACAATAAGTATGTGTTTTCTAATATAAACAAAAAACCTTCGCGGAAATAACTATTATTTATTATGATCTTAGAAGACAAACTTTTCAACAAATACTTTTTGTGCGTCCAAATAATACAATTTTTCATTTTTACTTATTATTAAGGTAGTATATATATATATATATATTTCTATTATTGCATATCATTTTAGATAAAATAACTTTGAGAAATATATAATCTGTTTTATATTTTTTGTTAATAAAGTGCTAATTAATGTTTACTTACTAAAAATAAAGCTTTTAAAAGAGACGTCCACCTGTACGAATACTTTTAGTATTCACTTACTGTATGTATAATAATTTGTTTTTGCATTAATCGAATGATAACATTTAAAATGCGAACAAGTAATTAATTAAGTTAAGGTTCAATTTTATAAAGGAGGATACGGTTGACACAACATTAATTATCTAAATAGTCATCTTTGCGAGATAATCTGCGTCATTCCAGCCGTCACCCTTCCGTACACCGTAACTCGACATCGTAACTCAGTACCTAGCAAACGCGTCGATAAGATAGGGTGGATGTACTAAGTCGCGCTTCGTCCATCACGCGAGCAATACCGGTGTGCACGTAGGTATTTGCATGTGTGTGCACGGCAAGTAAACGAGCGCGCACGTAGAGCAAGGCGCACGGTAGACTACGCGGCTAATTGCCGCTAATTATCGCGCTTACCGCGGTTCGGCTCTTCCTCTCGCCGCCACCACCGTCGCCGTCTCCGTCGCCCTCCGCGCGTCGCCGCGGTTTGCCACCCCTTCCCGCCCTTTTCTCCCTTAAGCCCGATACAACCCTCCCCCTCCCCCGGGCAACCACCTGAAATCCGTTACTCTGGCCTGCCGACGAACTGCGTCTTTCCTACCCGCGCCGCCCACCCCACTAACGACCTAAATGCCGTGGGCTGTCTGCCCTAACTCCTACCCACCCCCCACGCGTCCCTCTACCATCCTTTCCTCCTTCTCTCGCTCCCGATCTCAGGCTCCGACTCGAGCACCGACTCGAGCTCGTTACATTAATTAAACAATATTTGCGATTAATATTTGAGATAATCATCAGCGCCTCAAAGCAGCCTCCGCTCCTCTCGGAGGATGCGGAACATCACGCGTGCTAATCGGATTAGCGCTTGTGAGGCTGCGGCTCCTTCTCTCTCTCTATCTATCTATCTTTCTCCCTCTCTACTCCATCCGTTCTCGGTTTCCGTCTTTCTCTTGCACTTCATCCGCGTCTGCTTGTCTGTCTCTCGCTTTCGCTACACTGCACTGATATGCCGGTAGTTGGAATCGCGCGAAATTGCGACGTCCTTTTGGTGATAATCGTGCCAGTGCTTGAAATAGCGTTAATTCGCGGACGAGTTAAGGATCGTTTCCGGCGTGACGATTGAGATGTTTCTATGTCTACGCGTATCAGTGCGCGTCAATTGTGCTATTGCCGTTGGTTTAAGAAGTTACGAATTAAAAAAGAGAATTAATTTTTCTTATCATCTTATTATCTTATCTATATTGATAGTTTCTTATTATTTTTTTAAACAAAAACTATATCGTACTTTAGAAGCGGATATGAGACGGCTTTGTCCCATCCTAAAAATTTCAATACTAGGTATACGTATTTTTTAACAAAATAAAAAAATTATGAAAACATTTTTTCATAGATTTTCCTACATTGTATCTTGAATGTAATACATACAAAAAAGATTAGTAGCGATTTAGAACCTGGATAAAAAATTATTTCAATAAGAAATAGGTGTTTTTAAAAAAAATAATTAAGATAAAATGAGAAAATTTTCATTTAAACTATAAAATTGTTTTATATATACATATATATATATATGTAACATTTATTTTTATACAGAAAACGTATTCCAGTAATTTTTTATAGAAACTGTATATCTGATACGTCCTTAATAAACTCTTATGTGGGAATTTATCGAACCATTGCGCTCTACATTTTTACACTAAAAGAATTCCCTACATCTATATGTATAAGATTATTAAGACTTTTGATGGTAAAAGGAGAACATAGCAACACTTCAATGCAGCAAGAAGTAATTTCTATCCCCTTGTTAGTTTCACCCAGACAGCGATCCTAATATTAAATAGGAGAGAAACGCATTCTACTCTAATATAATTTTAAATAAAAAAATTAAATTTATATTATACTTTGTCACATTTTTTCTATTTACGTTCTCAATTCTATTTTTTTCCTCTCGTTAAACTTGCAGTACCACGGGGATAGGCGCAGGCTTCAGGCCGGTGGAACCGCCAACGTCCCTTTTCTTCTCGCCTCATCTGGCCGCCC